ACCCTGCCCCACCACGGCTCGGGCTCCGTGGGTGGGGATCCCACCTGGCTCACGCTGGGCAGATTGGGGGATTTGGACCTACCGATCCCACCGAAGGGCAGCGAGGGCAACGTCGCGTGCATCAGGGTGTCGTTGCCACAGAAGCCACCGCTGCTGGTCCGCTCCAGGACCTGGTTCACCACCTGTGAGGGAAGCAGAAGAGGGGATGTGGGTCTTGCACCCTGTTCCCGCACCTCCAGCTGCAGTCCTTCCCACACAACCAGGGCTGTCTGCTCTAAAGAACATTTTTGGAGCATGAAGGTGGCTGACTACACCTGCTGAGGAGCACGAGACAAGCGTAGCCCTGGCTTCACACAGCCTGTACGCTCTACCTTGTCGTCGGAGGAGAAGGCGTACACAACCAGCGGCCGCTCACGGCTGTTGATAAAGTCGATGGCTTCATCCATGTTGGCCACAATGACAATGGGCAAGATGGGGCCAAAGATCTCCTCCTGCATGACAGGATCAGAGGGCTGCAAGTCCACCAGCACTGTGGGAGCTGCAGAGAAAGAAACCCAAAGACATCAGCCATGCATAGAGGTTGGAGATGACACCTGGGTCCTCTGCCCAAGACCTATAGCTCCTCTAAGACAGGACACGTTGCCAAGCTCCCCAGTTGCGGTGCAAACCTTCCCTGAATGTCACTTCCAACTAGAACCTCCCCTCCAGTTGTGAGACCCTCTCCAAAATCCAAGTTCAATCCATGCAAGGATGAAGACTTACATCAAGTTCAAGCCCTCACCAATGTAGCACGTCTCTGCGTCCGTCTGTCCTCCAATGGCCGCACGCCCGCAGCGCAGCAGAGCCTGCACCCGCTGGAACTGCTTGTCCCCCACGATGCGGCCGAAGTCGGGGGACTCCCGAGGGTTGGAGCCGTAAAACTCGGTGATGGCCTCGCGCAGGAAGGGCATCAGCTTCTCCTGCATCTCCACGCTGCACAGCACGTAGTCCGGGGCCACGCAGGTCTGCCCGGCGTTGAAGAAGCGGCCCCAGGCCACCCGCCGGGCCACGTTCTGCACGTTGCAGGTGTCGGACACGTAGCAGGGGTTCTTGCCCCCCAGCTCCAGCGTCACCGGCGTCAGGTGCTTGGCGGCGGCTGCCATGCTGATCCTCCCCACGGCGGGGCTGACCCTGGGCAGGGGGGCG